GTGTGTGAGTGTGTGTGTGTGTGTGTGAGTGTGTGTGTGCGCGCGCATGCATAAATGTGTGCTCACTGCCAAGCACGCATGTACATATATATGTGTGGTACAAAGACATTCATTTATGGCTGTGTGTGTGAGCATGTGTGTCTGTGTGTTTATTAGTGGTGGTAGTGGTGGGAGGAGGAAGAACTATGACAATTCACATGGTTTGGAAAACTAAAAACAAAATTAATGCTGATTTTATGTCAGTTTTGGGGGAACATGTATAAAATGAGAATGATAACAGGGATGAGCACTATATCTCCCAATTGATGCACGACAAGTCCTGCACAAAGACACACAGTCAATGTCAAAGACCACTGAGCTGTATTTCAGCAAGAACAGACATCGTGGAGACAAACTCAAAGACTCATCCAGCTACAGAAAGTTGAGAGAGAAAGTCAAAGGAGAACCACAGTCTCTTCATGTTCAGTGAAACCAAAAAAATCATCCTTATCTTTCCACAAATCTGCCCCTAAAGATAGACTTATATTTTGTGAGAGCAGAGCCTTCAAAGGTTTTGTATCTGACGTACCTAAACAACATTTTAGTCTTTATTTGTGACTGATTTCCTTAGTAAAAAAAAATCAAGCCTATGATTTTACACTATTTTAAACCAAATTTGGTCTAATAATATAATGAACTCTTGCAATGTTAATATCACAGAATGTGGCAACCGCAAGGAGCGCATTGCCCGATAAATACATTATTTAACAAAGACATTGGGCTGCTTACCTCTCCAGGATCATTGGCTACTGCTAGGCCCATGGCCACAGGGATGACTAGAATGTCGGAGAAAATGATGGCAGCATCCAGGTCATATCTGCGGATGGGCTGAAAGAAGACAGAATGTAGGGAATAAGAAGAACTCTTTTATTTGGCCTTGTTGATATTTGCCTTATAAAAGGTATATCATGTATTCAAAACGTACAATTTAAAAGAAACAAAAAACAAAAACAAAATGTTTTGGTAACCGACACAGACTAACATCAATACTGTAAGCAAAGAAGGAGGAAGAGAGGAACTAGCTGAATTCTTTAAAATTTTATTTTAAAAAATAAGTTTTAGTACAGGTTTTACAGCGCTCGCAACTGCATAAGGTCATTTAAGCCCCAAGGGGTGAATGTCAACAGAGAAGTCCTTACAGGGAATCAGACTCACTCTGCTCACCTCTCGACTATCAAGGCACCCCGGAAATAGCGAGTCACAAGAGTGTGACAAACATACAAAAGAAGTAGAGGAAAAATGACGAAAATGAGGCAAGAAAAAGCAGCAGCTCCCCCTTTGTTGTTTCGGCACAGTATTAGCATGACATTGATAAATCAGCCCATTTACAGTTCTATGTGTATAAGAACATGTTAATATCTCCCCTTTGGGAATGGCCTTAAGACACTTCAGTGAGTAGCACGGCCCCGGGGGGTAGACCTCTTTTACTTGGTCAAGTGGAAATTTGCTTTACAAAAGGAAAAAAATCATGTATTCAAAAGTACAACTTAAAAGAAACGAAAAACAAAAATTAATTAATTAATTTTTTGGGGGTAACGCACACAGACTAACATCATCACTCTAGACAAAGAAAGAGGAGGAGGACTAGCTGCATTCTGTATAATCCTTTCTTTTTTTTTTTTTTATTAATCTAAACACTGTACTCTATTACCTGGAGAGTAAGTTCACAAACAAGTTGGGGATCTTTGCAGGTAGCAAAAAACTTGGTATCGCCTTTTGCTTGCCTGTACTCTACACAAACAAAAAGAGGGAAACAAAAATATTAAACACTGCTCTAAACAAAAGCTAACTACTGAAATATATTAGAAAGCTCAAAGAGAGCTGAAAGTCAGATAATATAAACAAGGACATTAGACAAAAAGTAGGTACAGTGACTGACCTCCTCTAGAGTCCTAGACAACTTTGACATTGACATGCAGAAATGTAATCTCAGTTTTCTTAAAATAATACAAGCAATGTTCAATTCAATAATACATGCTAGGTGATCAAGCAGAGGCACACACTTATTTTTTCTAGCAAAATCTATTGATTTCTAAGGTGACTGAAAAAATGGCGAAAAGACAGAAAAATGGGTAATTTAATTAACACCAGGAGGTGCTCTTGCATACACAATTGTAACAAAAGTGTACAGACACATTTTAAGTACTTTAAATTGATATTCAAAAAACCCAAACACACCGGAGAATGTGTATCAAACATAGTTTAACCACACTAAGTGTCAATTTCTTAACACATCAAATGTTCTGTGCATGCGCGCGCGCACACACACACACAATACCAGGAAGGTAGCGTCCAGCCTGTCTCATAACCCATACAGGCACCCTCTCTGTCTTTTCTCCTCGGGCTGCCCTTAGTAGCAGATCATTCTTCAGTGGAGAGAAGGCCTGAAAACAAAAAATACAATACAATAAAGATAAGTAATAAAAACTTACAGAATAATAATATAAAAAAGCAAAGAAAATTGTCTTTATCTCGACAAAAAGCTAGAAAATATCCTAAAGCAGAATAGAGAAGAAAATAGAGCATTTGATTTCGAACAGCGAACATTCAAATTTGTTCATCACAATCAAAAGAACAACATTAATAACAAAGGAGACAATGTCAATTTGGTTTCATAGCAATACCTTGTACTGAAGGGCTGTGAAGTATGATATTGTGAGAACAAGAAAATCAGGGACCACCCTGAGGTAAGAGACAAGTGGCCATCGAGGATATTTTTAAAAAATATATTTTAGTACAGTAATTGTGTACATACAAAGACAATTCATAGGACTTATATATGACGCTTTTTTAACTTCAAACACAACTTTGAAGCTTAAACATCCAAATGCCGTTTTAAAATTTTAGTCACTGTCTGTCGTGAATGGCCAATGATTATGTTCCTTGTCATTCTAGCTTAGAATCTAATATGGGTCCACCACCCATGATAACAGGCCTAAAAATATAAAGATTGGCGACAGTCTCAACTTTCTTTCCACTCAACCACCTGTCCACTGAAACTACCATTCCATTTTCAACTACCCCCCCTCCCCCATCCCTTTGGAAAGTAAGGTTTGTACCTGTCTCTGACACAATAGTAATCTGCTCTCTGTTCTGTAGGCCTAGAACATAAAAGAAGATTTTATAAATCTTCCATCCCCTACTTTCCACAAATCATGTTTTAAGTCATTTTTTTTCATTTGTGCACATTGAAGGCAGTGTTCATACTTTCCCTATTTTTACTAAAAATAAAAAAGGATTCTAATATCCCAGTAAAAAAACACCCTATAAATAGAGCCTTTTAGCAGAGGCATCATGGTGAAATCAGTCGCATGTCAAAATAATGAAATTGAAGAAACCAGCATTTTTCTGCTAATTAAATTTTACCTCTGAAACCAGGCGACCCCAACCTCTTTCAATCGCAAACATTTTGACTTCTTTGTCAGAGATAGATGAGTATTTTTTTCATCGAAAGCAAGAAAAATGAAAATAAGCATTAAAATGATACCTTTTTTTTAGCAGTAAGAGTTTTAATGCACTTACAACACAATAAGGTCATATTATAAGTGCCGAAGAATAGAGGTGTTACAAGAGAGCAACACACACAAAAAAGAAGGAGAGATAAAGACAATAGAATGTTTGATAGGGGAAAGAAGGAGCAAACCACACCAGAGCACCCGCCAACCACCCACTAATGATACCGATAAACCACATCCATGTATGTCCCAGATTTGATGAGGGTCTGATTTGGTTAGGAAGTTTTTGGGTTTGGTTTTTTATGCGGGGGGGTGTCGTAGGTGTTTTACGGCGCTCGCAACTGCAAGGTCATATGAGCGCACCAGACACATCCAACATTTTCAGTTAGAAAAGGACATTTTGAACTTTGCCCGGGTGGCAGCCGAAACCTATTTTTTATTGATTCTGGACCACCAATGGAACTTAGACATGCGCAACTTGCACACAGGACCTCAGAAATTTTTCGCCTTCCTTTATCCGAGAAGGCTAGGCGTTAGATCTTACGTACCATAAGATTAGGGGTGAGACTGAGAGACTGCAGTAAGGAGCCAAGGAGTAGCAGTAGAAAAGCTGCAGAAAAAGTCAGGAGCCCAAAGGAGGGGGCAAAGGAGGGAAGGGGGTGGGAGCAGAAAGTGGAGACGAAAGTACAAAATAATTTTTAGAGAGCAGGAAAGGAGAAAATTTCTGAGAAGAAAATTTCCCGTCGCTCTCCAGATTCGAACCTGGGACCTCCTATTGAACGAGAGGCGAACATCATAACCTCTTACTCTTAACCACGAAAGCCCCCTAGAAGTTTTACTCACATTGCACTTTCATTACTTCAAACACAAATAACCTAGAGATCTAGATATCTAGAATCTAGATCTAACATCTTATCTAGGTATGATGATGATATAATATATATCTAGTATATATTGTAGGAGGGAGGTATTGAAAAATAGAAGTGATACTAGAGTCAAGGAAGTGGCTCTCACCCGGGGTGAGAATAGAAATACGATCGACCTCTCACCCCCGGGTGAGACTTGCCACCGTAACCTATTCTCACCCGGTATGAAACAAGACCTGTTTTTCCTAATTTCGGAATACTTTCTATCAATGTGGATGATCAAATGGATAAAGGCAAAGAAAAGATTACGTTATAGCACAAAAGTAAGCTAATTTTATCGACTACAAAGATGCTATGGCTATTTCACTTTTCGAATCGAGCCGAACTACGGGGGTCGCCATTTTGTTTTGCCCGGAAGTTCTCGCAAGATCTACTCCTCCCCTCTTCTCTCTCTCTTTCTCAATACTGTCTCGGTGTAGACGATCAAATTGACCAAAACAAAGTTAAAAAATAATGTTAAAACACAAAAGTAAATTAATTTGGTTGTTTACAAAGATGTACGGCTATTTAACTTTTCGAATCGAGCCGAACTACGCGGGTCGCCATTTTGTTTTGTCCGGAAGTTCTCGAGCTACTCCTCTCATTCTCTCTCTCTCTCCACTGCCCACAGACAAAATTGTACGCTTTTACTTTTAGTAGGCTAACAGTAGTAATGGAACGTTTGTTCACGGCACAGAATTGTACAATGTTTCTTTTATCACAGTGTTAGAATTCTGTGGTTTAGGGTGAAAGCAAAATTGGTTGGCCTAGATCTAGGCTAGGCTATAACGGTGAACGCGCACCGGGTGAGAATAGCCAAAAGACTCGCCTGCACTATTCTCACCCGGGGTAAGAATAGAGGTGGCCAACTTACAAAGAAAAGAAGGAGGAGAACTAATTAGGCTATATCATAATTATAATAATAATATTGACACACAAAAAAGAAGGAGCAAAACACACACCAAAAAGCAACCCCCCCCTCCCCCCATTCAACCACCCACCACTGCCCACTTACTACTATAGACTATGGAGCCCTCACCTCTATTCTCACCCGGAGTGAGAATAGTGCAGGCGAGTCTTGTGGCTATTCTCACCCGGTGCGCGTTCACCAAATTTTGCGTTCACCCTAAACCACAGAATTCTACACTGTGATAACAGAAAAATTGTAGATTTCTGTGCCGTGAACAAACGTTCCATTACAACTGTAGCCTACTAAAAGCGTACAATTCTGTCTGTGGGCAGTGGAGAGAGAGAGAGAGAAAGAGAGAGAGACTTAGCGCGAGAATTTCCGGGCAAAACAAAATGACGACCCGCGTAGTTCGTCTCGATTCGAAAAGTTAAATAGCCGTAGCATCTTTGTAGACAACCAAATTAATTTACTTTTGTGTTTTAACATAATTTTTTAACTTTGTTTTGGTCAATTTGATCGTCCACACCGATAGACAGTATTCAAAAAGAGACAGAGAGAGAGAGAGGGGGGAGGAGTAGATCTTGCGAGAACTTCCGGGCAAAACAAAATGGCGACCCGCGTAGTTTGGCTAGATTCGAACAGTGAAATAGCCATAGCATCTTTGAAGACGATCAAATTAGCTTACTTTTGTTTGTGCTATAACGTAATTTTTTCTTGGCTTTTATCAATTTGATCATCCACACCGATAGACAGTATTCCAAAATGAGGAAAAGCAGGTCTTGTTTCGCACCGGGTGAGAATAGCCTACGCTGGCAAGTCTCACCCGGGGTGAGAGGTAGATCGTTTTTCTATTCTCACCCCGGATGAGAATAGCCACTTCCATACTTTGACTAACACACAGCGCCAACGTTAATCAATGACAAATCAATTATTATCTGTAGCTGTTGCCGTATGCCATGGACGGTGGAGAAGCATTGTTGCCATTGATATATAGAGTCTATGTGCTGCGTGACTGTACCGGCATGTCGAGTCTGTGAACTTCATGAAGTTTGAAAATGAAAGATGAAGGGATGATAATATGATGAAGTAAAATGAAGTTGACGTCCAGCTGCCGGTGCCGGTCGGTGCAGACTAAAACTAAAACATATTTTTAGCAATGGAAAAGACTAGATCTATGCTAAAATAGTTCTATGAAGAAGAAGCAATAGACAGTGTAAAATCGACATAAACAAACTCAGTGATTCGCTAGCGTTTCTTGTGAAATAAAAATCATGTGTCTAACCTGTGTTTGTGGTGAAATGGGCGCAGCCATCTTGTTAAGGTTGCGTAAGTAGAATCAACGGTCAGACCTCGTTATCTCCCTTATAAATGTCGTCGTGCGATGTAGGGCACGTAGGCCTAGACGTGGTCCTTGAAAGTGCCCGTGGCTCGCTCGTCGCTCAACAACACCAGTAGAAACAGCGATAGCTGTAACAGCTGCGACACATCCGATGGGCGAGCCTATCTTCTGTTTCTTATTCTTTTTTTTTTCAAATGCACATAGACAATTGCGGTAATACTTACTGAAAAAGGGATATACTAGAAGACACCCCCCTCCCAAGCACATACATTATAATTATTATACACCCTTTTTTATCTCGGGAGAACCCCCCCCCCCCCACACACACACACAAAACACACTCACAATAAACAAATTCAAATTATAATAAAACTAGCCCAAACGGTAAAGATCTCAATAGCTTAGAAATGGCCCTGTAGAAAAACAGCGCACAAGCGTGACTTTCCGTTGCTGATCATAATGCTCGTGTAGAGGCCTTCCGATTAAGCAACAGCACTCACGACTCGATCACAGCTATCATGCGTGTAGACAAAAGAAATGGCTCATTCGTTTTCAATAGCTAGGTCTATTAAAAATGCTATGAAAAAAATTCAGGAGCAGTCTGTGATCCAAAGAGGTTTTATGTAATCCAAACTGAACAGTCGTGGTCGACAAACTATTTAATAGGTTATTAAAGTTAAAGAAGATGTTTAGAGTTATGTTCAGATGACTTAACATTATGGACAAATTAAAGTTTAATGGTTTATCAAACGACATATTATATGACCCACAACGTACGTGTTATTAACACATCCGCCTCCAACATAAAAATAATGCATGCCGTTCGATTTGAGAAGGACATATGTAATAAATCAAAACAAAATAACATATTTTTCATAGCAAATAAAATAGCAAAATTTGAATGTCTTAGCATTAATCTAGCATTGCCACTGCACCACCAACAGCATCCACATTAAAAAAAAGGTTAGATTCTTTAAAATAAATATGGTAATTTAACAGTTTTATATAACACCACCAACAACAATAATTATATTATAATGAGGCTTATATAGATGGGCCTGTCCAAACTGTAAACTTCAGCGTTGTGATCGTTATTTCCTCCCAAGCAACACCTATTGATAAAATAATAAAATAATATGTTTAACTATTAACTCAAAATGATAAAAAAAATAAAATTTTTAGAATTCTTTGCCAGGCTACACCAGTCCGGTAACACTTGATAAGCCTAGTAAACTGTAGGCAAATATTCTCCTCTACCAAGATAATACATGTAGATCTAATAATATGAATGCACTTGCTCTTTGGGCTTTTTTGCGCGACGTGGCGGGACCCGCTTTGTCGCATTAGTGCGTGATGGGTTACGTACGTCACTATATTATATCTATATATTAGGCGACGCGAGGTTAAATTGGTTTCATCGCCAACTTTGGGGTATGCGTGGGTGTATGTGTATGTGTGTGTGTGTGTGTGTGTGTGTGTGTGTGTGTGTGTGTGTGTGTGTGTGACCGCAGAAATGGCTAAGATAACACAAATAACAAAAGGAAAAAAGGGGGATGATCAGGAGCTGTGAATGAGAAGGAAGAAAAGAAAACTGAAAATCACCAAACAAAAAACGAGGAAAATTATTTAAAGTGGCAAATAATCACTTTTGCCGGGTTAAATAAATTGTGCTTTTATAATGGCCAACTGGTTGTTACTTAATTGATGGGTAAGATGATGTGCAAGAGCAGGCGGGCGAGGAGTAAACGGACGGGAATGAGGGAGCTTGAGGGGCTGGTATAAAAATAATTAGAATTGTGCAAGAAATGTATTTGCATTGCTTTAGTGCTGGCCAGATGTCACCGATCGAACTTATAATATAGTTTGCTGTCTAGTCATTTATGATATCGCAGTGATGGTTAAAGTGGCGTAGTTAGTTTATAGATCTACCGCGTTGTCACTGGTCGATATAACCAGACAAATATATGTATTGACAGTGTGCTATGAGAGTAAATTTTTTTTTCCAAATTAAGATGAGAAGTGAACTTATTGTGGCGACACAGTCTTGCTTTACAATTTCTTTTCATGACTTTATGTCACGATCTTTTATATAACACTGGCAGATTCAAACTATGTCTTATTTGTCTCTTCTTTATATATATATATATATATATATATATATATATATATATATATATATATATATATAATATAGTGGTATGAAACAACAACAACTCTCTCCCCCCCCCCCTCTCTCTCTCTCTCTCTCTCTCTCTCTCTCTCTCTCTCTCTCTCACACACACACACACACACACACACACACACACACACTGCCTGCAGGCAGAATTGCTTCCAATCATAAGAGCGCTGGAACGTTTGTTTACACTCGTGGGCCGTAGGCCCTACGCGCTCGCGGTAATTAGCAGCGCCCAAGTCTCTCGCGTACTCGACATAGGGCAATTGAAACATCTTGGTAGTGGAAAATCTTTGCTGTTGGCCTAATAATAATTTTAATACTGCCCTGATAAGGATTTATAAAGACCGTGTATACACGGTATTTGTTAATATAATATTATGTCATGTTCCAAACAAGGAAATAATATTATAGAAAAGGTCATTTGTCCTCAAATATTTTGGTGTGTTCCTTTCCACCCAACAAATTGTATTTAATAATATATATATAAAAGGTCATAAATAGTGCTATTACCTCTAAGGACACAGGCCTAGGCTTTCTCAGTTCAAAGCCTAGGCACAGGCCAATGTAGGCCAACCTGACTTCATTGGCCTATTATACTTATCAAGTTGTTTTCCTTTATCTACCAGTTGCTATAGAAACGAATCGGGAAACCACATCCAAGAGTTCAAGAAACTTTCAGTATAAAACAACAATCAAAAATCATAATACATTTTTTCCAAATTGGAATAAACATTCTACTCATTGAAAAGTAATAAATAAAGTAATAAATAATATAATAATGTCGTATTTCTGGAAGGAGAGATACATTCGGTGCGGTATGAGTATGTTTACAAATGTCTGCTGCCTGCAGCAACACTTGAGAGAGAATCGTAACAAATCGGTATTTTCGACCATGCCGCCGAAAAAAGCGGCCCCAGCTCCAGTGAAAGCGACTGGATCGCGCACTTCAACGGTCTCAAAGCCCAAAGCAACTCCTGCTGCACGGGGTGGCAAGACAACTGCAAGTACAAGTAATAATTATTTGTACATCCGACTTGGATTTGAGTCTGCTGAAAATCTGCCTTTCGTAGTTCTAGATCTACAGGGTGTCATTATTTTTTTAGCTTTTAGCCCCACACCAGTCCATGCAGTAAAAAGAAAAGTATAAGGGTATCTTTGCATAAAAAAGAAAACAAAATTTTAAACTGAAGATTTTATTTTACTTATTCCTGATTTGAGGACTCGTTTAAAAATTGCCGTTTTAATCATATATATGCCTTCATCAATTACGTCTATAACTAGAATCTATTCTATATTTGAACTTTGTCTCCTCTGATCGATTGTCGTATAGTTTTGGAGATGGATTACATAATAATAATAATAATAATAGTAATAATAACAATAATAATAATTTTAAATAGCATTTGCATAGCGTCCCTGCTCGACAACAAGCTCTATATATGCGCTTTACACTATTTAACTTCCCCAACATGCAGACCCTATATATATATAACACTCAGAAACAGTCTCGGCTTCCCGGAAAACATAGGCCGCAAGCAGCCGATTAAGCGCTCGCAGACACTAACAAACTGACGAGATCTATCGCTATTTATAGATGCTCACTTGGGTGAAGTGAGGAAAATCTGTGTAAATTTAATTTTAAGTGCCTCCCAAGAACACAACGTCAAAGCCTCTGATGTGATTCAAACCCACGACCATACTGTTGCAAGTCCAAAAAGCCTAACCACCAAATTCAAGTCTAACTTCCAATTCTCTTACGATTGGTGAGATACCTTCTCTTTGTATCAGAGATCGAGCTGCCACGCATGCATGTCTCTTTACAAACATATCCATCAGTTTGCACTCTGGGAGCTGCATATTTGACAAAAGATGGTAAAAAAGGCTACAAAAAACTGGCTTTCAAAGTAAAATGCATTAGTACCACCTGCATAGCTTTAAATTTGCACTGGATGTTTAATCCTGCACTGTGGCAAATTTCAAAGGGATCCTGTGACCCTACATAAGTGTGAAAATAGCAGGATATGAACTTTGTGGGAGGGGTTTAAGAGGTGGTTTTGGTGTTACTGATATTATGGTCAAATTTTATATCAGCCTTTATAATACTTGAATCTGTTTGTTTCAATTGCCCTTTAAATTTCTTCCCTTTCTTTTGAAAATATATAAATTTGCAAAAGTTTGGGGTTGGTATGTATCCATTTTGTTTCCACTTTCTGTTTCAGCAAAAAAGCCTTCGATAACCACAAAACCAGCAGGGAAAACTGATAAACCTGCTGAACCAAAAAAGAAAGCATGGACACCTCAAGATGAAGCGGCTCGGAAAATCCAGACAAAAGCACGTCAGTTTCTTGCGAAGAAAGAAATTGAGAAAAAAAAGAAAGAGAAACAAGATTATGAGGATCTTATGGACAAGCTTGAAAAAGAGGTTAGGGCAATATTATACTTTAACATTTTTTGGAGTAGTTCTTTTTAAGGCATTGCAAAGTGGCAGTCATATATGTAAAATGGCTCACATAATCAGTTCTTATGTGATATTGATTTTCATATTATTTTTTTTCCCCCTCACAATTCACTATATGTTTGTTTTCCTTTACATTTTCTGTTAGGCATTCATCCACATGGTGAAAATGCAACAAGAAGAAGCTGAAAGAAAAGCTCAGAAAGAAGACGAGGAAAGAAAAAGGAGACAGCAAGAAATAAAAAGGAGGAAAAGAATGCTTGAAGCGGCTTATGATGGCGATCTGGATATCATGAAAGAAGTCCTGAAAGAGGTATAGGCCCTCTATGCAATTGCACTTACAGATGTTTTTCTGAATCATTATTATTTTATTTGACTCAGTAAAACTTTTCTTCATTTCAAATAATTTCTATAGATCTACAAAGCTTGACGTTAGGGGGAACTGAATTAAAAACCATACTGTTATAAAAATGGGGTTAATAATGTCATAATATGTCATCCAGACGACATGCTCTGACAAAGCTTCTAAATTTCAGTTTCTTGTTTTGTCTGACATCAACTGTTCGCCTGTGTGACTTTTTTGCTCTCATTTTGATCCATAGAGGAACGTTCTATAAGAATGTGACTTCCCGTCAAATTAAACAATACATTAATGTAGGTTTTATCCAAACGCAAAGAGCCTTATTCTAATCAGGACTCTGGGTTGAGAGGATAATTGTTACCAGAAATACAAGACATATATATTTGGCCTGGCTCAGATTCAAACACGGTACTTCTGTGCGCTGGATGAGTTCTTATACCTGACTGTGCCAGAGGTTGGTAGACTATGGTCCTCAGACAATATTGCCCTCCACAGAATTTTGTGTGGTTGTCAGAAACATTTAGTTGATAAAATAAAATAAAAAGTTTGCAATCAATAAAAATTAACATGCTAAAGATCTTATTCGTCGATATAATGTTTGAGCCAAGATCTAGCTTTATAGCTTCACTATTTACTATGATGCGATCATATGGCGCATAATAAGTTATCAAAAGCAAATTAGAGTTATGTAACCCTCAAAGTCCTGTTTTAAAGGATCTTTGCTGTTGATAGACTATTTGAAGATGTCCTGGATAAGAAAACTTTTACCATCCCTGGCCAATGCCTCAATGTCTGAATTCTGAAGGATATCGTTGTGAACTGTAAGGATGCGTGCCTCAGAATATTTCACCAGAGATTTACCTATGGCTTTGATGGCTAATGTAACTGCAACACACTGGTCTTAAGAGAAAGATGTAGTTTATCATCTTGTATCTATTTCAATCACAGCTTACCAAAACTTAACAATAAATAGCTGGGTTCATTCTAATTTTTGTCTCCGTCCAAAAGGAGACTGCAGTATGGCAGCCTGTTGGGTAATTTGCCCAGTTTTTTCCTTTTTTTTTTGCTGTGACAATAATGCTAAGTGCCCTATTGCATTTGGGTGATCTGAGAAAACAAACAAAACTTTTCTTTCCTCAGTATGCAACATGAATTGATGGGGGAGTAAAACATTTTTGCAAATGAAAAATACAGGAGAGATTCAAACCCTACATTCATTATTTAAACACTAATGGTTCAATTGCTCTACTAGAATAGATATTTTTAACCACAGAATATACTAAGACTTGTAATTAACATTTGCATGATAAATTTTCTGATACTTAAGACTAGGATTCTATATTGCAAGGTTTCAGATATAGACACAAAGAATGGAATTGGAAATGATGTGATTGGAAGATCGTTGAGAACCAAACATCTAATGGCTGTCATAGACTGTGAGGACGCTAATGGGAACACTCCCCTCTCTGAAGCTGCAAGTATGTTTGTATTGTGACTGTTCCATAACTGACAGTTTTTATCTTTGCTCTGGATTAGCCTTAGTTTCATAGTTTCTTTAACTCTATATCTCTGGGTAAGCCCACTATGCCAGGCCCCTTCTTTGGTACTAAATCTAAAAATGACAAAAACGTCTCTAGATGGGTCATTAAATCAAAACAAGTGAACCTACCTTGATAGTTCTTCATCTAATGAATGAACTCCCGATAAAAGAGACATGTTTTCAGCAATTTTTTTCTGGTTCCCTTGCAATTCCATCTTGCACAGGTTCGACTGTATGTCAATTAAATTATAATGAAATCACTGTTTTGAAAAAATGTGAAGCAGCATGGTGAATTCAGGCGCTCGTCAAAATAACGAAGTCGGAGAAACAGGCATTTTTCAACCAGTTTGGAAATCTTTATCGTATTTTTATTTTTTGGCTTAACACTTTTCACCCACGCAGAATGCAGAGCGCGCAATGCTTATCCCCATGGACCAGGATACAGGTGCGGTACACGCTATATCATACCATCGCCGATTGGCGTCCCGTGGGGAAAAGGGATGGCTTCTTACCGTTGCTTATCTGCATACAGTAGGGGCATAGTGTTAACTTCTTAGATGTCTTTATAAAAACACATTTCCCTGAGAATTTTAATGAAAAACATTGATTAAAGGCACAAAATATATCATTTTTCAGTTTTCAAAGACTCTTTAGTTATTGGAGTTTCCAAACTTTGGCGGCCATTTTCTCGATAGATAACCTCACTTCCTTCAATCGCAAATATCTTTAGTTCCTTTCAAGATAAAGGAATATTTATTTCATTTGGAAGAAAGGCAAATAAATCAGCTTTCAGATGATATCAATAACTCCATATGTCAAAAAATTGACGAGCGCCTGATTCCACAGCGTCATGACACAAATACCCCCAAAATTTCTCTTTTAGATGGTGGAAGTGCAGAGGCCATCAGGTTTCTGTTGGAAAAGGGAGCAGAGCCAAACTCTCAGGGTCAGTTCTTGAGGACTCCTCTGTACCGCTCGGCTTTTATTGGGAGCTTGGAGGCCACGCAGGTAACCTGTTCTGGTTAAGGGCTAGATGAGGAGTTAAAATCATCTTATGCACACAACGTCATGGTTACCCCCATATTGGTCACACAGAAAGTGAAGACCCTGGATGTGCACAGGGGGGCTGCCCAGTTTGTCACAATTTCCTTTAAGTAATTGAGTATTGATGACAGTCACAATTGCAGCACTTAAACACTGTGGTTGTTTTTTATTCTCCACCTTCAAATTGGTGGTGTAGAGAGGTTATGGTGTTTGCCTCTCATTCAATAGATCCGTCATTCGAATCTGGACAGCGACAGAAAATGTTAATCTCTAAAATGTTCTCTTTTTACCCCTTTTCCTGCTCTCTGACAATATTCTGTTGTCTGTTTTCGTCTCTACTTTCTATCCCCTCCCCCTTCTCCTCTCCCCTTTGCCCCCTCCTCTGGGCTCCTGACTCTTTCTGCAGCCTTTCTACTGCTTCTCCTTGGCTCCTTCTTACTACTGTCTTTCTGCCACACCACTGATCTTTTGGTAGGAAAGGTTTACACCTAGCCTTCTTGGACAAGGGCAAAAAATCTCACAGAGGTCATATGTGCAAGTTGCGCACGTTAAAAACCCTTTGGTGGTCCTGAAATTGATAAGAGTTGGCTTTGGCCACTACTTTTGGGCAAAATTCAAAATTTCCTACAAACTGGAACAATTTTTTATGTGTCCCACGAGTGCTGTAAAACACTTACCAAAAAAAAAGTAGTCAGCTGGACATTCACCTCTGCCCTTGTAAGACAATCTGTTCTTGTGATATGATCTGTTCCTATGATCTGTTCTTATGACCTGTTACATTATCCTTTTCTTACTCGCTTCTTATCATCCAATCTTGATTATATTGAAAATTACTACTTCATCCATCCTCCTGTTCATGGCGCAGTCTGCCATATGGCCTGAAACATATCCTCAACTCGTTTTGGAGAAAAACATCAATAACAAGCTTCATTCTAAAAATTCACCGTCTATATGTCACGGCTCCCGAGGTTGATTTCGAATCCCTCACTTATAACAGAGCTGTTCAAACGTCAAATATTACATTTTTGTTGGCATTTGCACGCTTCCATAAATATTTGACAATTTAAGATGTCTCTTGTGTTCACATTTATAGGTGCTTCTGGAGAATGGAGCTGACCCCAGAATATGTGCCTCTGACAGTCAGACTCCTCTTGAGGTGGGTCACCCTGAACAAGAACAGAAAGAAGATTATCATCACAGTTATATTATTTGTAATAAAAAACAACAACCCCCAAACCCAAATCTATCTTTCAACATTAGAGCTGTATCCCGGTAGCAAACCCCCTTGTGCTTGCAAGCCCCTAGTTCAAGTCACAATCTTCAAATCACTAGGTCAAATAATCAAATCAAATCACCAGCATGTTACACTTGAGTCTAGCTTAAGCTTCAAGTCAGTCCACAACACTACTAGTACATTGTACAAGCAATCCACGAAGCCTCTCGTGTTGGGCCCCCTCATCCTCCCCACACCCTGCTTGCAATCCGCAAAGCCACCTACGTATGAAAGGGAGAGGGAGAGGCTCGCTCACAGCGCGGCACGCAAGTCTTAAATCCCGCTCGCAGCACAGCAAACCGCTCGCGCCCAATGACTTTCTTTGCACCCCATGTCTTGCTTTGCATCCCATGGCTTGTTTTGTGCCCCTTGACTTGCTCGCAGCCTGCAAGCTGTCCGTGCCCCATGACTTGCTTTGCCTCCTATGTCTTGCTTTGCATCCCTTGGCTTGCTTTGCCAGCAGCGAGCAGCAAGATCGCTCGCAGTGTGAACTCTGAACGGTGGAGGAAGGGAGAGGCTGTGCTTGCTTTGGTGCAAGACATAGAGAGCTGAAGCTATTTCGAACTTCCCACCCTTGATCAGCTGAGCGAGTGGATGTAGTGATAAGAAGTGTGGTATTGTAGTATTAAGTAGACTTACATTATCTTAGAATGGAAAACTCCCTGGGTCGTTGTGATTGGCTTTTGTATCGTATTTATGTAGCCTATTTTGTAGATGTTTTACACTCACAATGACACAATATAGAACATTTAGGAGACGGGATAGGCCTACTTCAACGCAATGTCAGAGCCATCCTGGGCTGAGAGGGAACAACACCCCAGCAGAAAGATGGAGGTTCTCAGTGAAAATTTCTCCCCATACGGGAATCGAACTGAGGTCTTTTGCGTGCAACGACGAAACGCTTGACTCGTGCACATTTTTTTAAAAAGGCCTTTGTATCATAAGAATAGCCGATCCATTATTAATTTGTAAGTGCATTGAATAGAGATTTTTTTGTTTGTTATAACCTGACTTATGAAAAAAAACCAAACTTGCTATTTTGGTGCAAGGCACTCAACGCAAATTACCAGAACCTTCTGTAATATGTACTGAGCCCACAGCGACGAGAGTTCGCAACGTCATGACACAGTACAGCAGGCCTGTCCGTGAGTCACAACTCACCGGAAGTTCCCCCCGATAGCGAGCGGCAGACAAAGCAAAGCACAAGCCAGCTTGCAAGCCTCTGGGGCAAGCCGTCCACTGCTTGCAAGCCTTTGATGAATCGAGCAGACTTTAACTCTGTTCAACAAATCAATTTGAATTCTATCATTTTTTCCTGTTGAAACTAAAAAGAGTTTAGCCAAGCATATTTATCTTTAGTGTATTTAGTGCTTGAATTGTGTACATTTTTTTTTGGTTCTTCTGTAAGTGAGACAGGCTGTAGAAAAGGAAAGCAGACTGACTTCCATCATGACACAAATATGTATTAATTTGTTAGATGGTCCTGGGATGTCATGGTGTTTTTATAATTTTAGTCTACGACTATTAAGGTTTATTGAGTCCTTGATGTATTTGGGGGTTTTTTTCAAGATAATGGGAAAACAAATGCAAGTGTTATTATTTTAAAAATGATTTACATTTCTTTTCTATTTGAAAAGCACAAAGGAACAATGATATTTTTGTCCTTTTTTTAAAAATGAAGCAGAATAAACTATGATTTTCACTTTTATTTGTAAAGGTTGTTTTTTTCAAGATAAATGGAAAATAAATGTTAGTGTCATTATTTAAAAAATTAGTTACATTTCTTTTCTATTTGAAAAGCACAAGGGAACAATGATATTTTTTTCCCTTTTTAAAAAAAATGAAGCAGAATAAATAATGATTTTCACTTTTATTTTTAAAGAGTAAAAAAGTATATATATAATTTTCTGTTTTTCTTTTAAAGAAGGAGAAAGAACATGTAAGTTTCATTCTATAAATTTGTTAAAAAGTATAAGTAGTATTTTATTTTTTTTTTTTTTAAA